TTGTCGTTTCTAAAGGAAAATGCTACAACAATTTGACACACATAATGAGTTAAAATCAACTTCCTAGTTCTTATGTTGTCAGAACAGTAAAATATCTTGTCCAAACGATTCTCTTACCTCAAATAATGTTCTTACTGACCAAGTACAGTAGTCTTATTCTGACATGCACTACCTCAACAATGATACCATTCAATTTCCAAAACAAACCTCACTATACGGCAGATTTCTGTACAGACAAAACTAATCGATGACAACTAGAAAAGCATTTTAATCATTCTTTCAATGTCCCATGCCACAGTTTTTTGACTCAATTAATTCTTACTAAAGAAGCCCTTTTCTTACTATCCAGAAGTGATGCATATGCCTTCCTGACCTTAGATAAAAATGTGGCTATTATTCACGGAGCAAAGACTACTGTATTAGGCACTTAATTGTGGACATTTTAGCCTATCTGAAACTGTGAGCTGATAACAATGCAGGGATCATTATATATACTTTTATTTAATGCCTTACCATGGTAGGTGTTTGATAATTCTTTGATAAGTGAATGACATGATATCAAGTGATCTAAATCATACCTCAAACAGTAGAGTTAAAAGCAAGATTCTAGTAGCCAAATTGGAGGCCTGGGGCAATGTGGCCATTTGACTGATCCACTCTGACACAGTTTTTGTGTCACTTGTTGTCAGAGGAAGAGCAGCTTTGATCAACACATCTGCAGCTTCCCACACCTTGAAAATCAACAAAATGGCCAAGTTAGATGAAGTTACATGAAAACATTCTAAGTCTTTTACCATAAATGCCTCCATCCTCAACACATTCACTGAGGAAAACTAAACAGCAATATATTTACCCATAGACATTTACTGTTTATCAAAAGAAGATTAAATAACTAATCACTAAAAGATTAAATAACTAATCACTAAAAGATCAATTTTTTTTTACTAGATTATAAGAGACTACATTCTAGGTTAAGAAAGTTTATACCAACTTACACTTGGTATCACAAAAAGCAGGACAAGAAAAGTCTGTTTTTGGTTTGCTGTTAAATTTCTTATAATGAATTTGGTATCATTGCTCTTTTCTGTTTAGATTTTAGTCTGCCAAAATCACTTATGCTATCATAAAGAAACTAAACTCTTTCTACAGAAAAATCTGCAAGCAATTTTCCTGTTTCCATGCTTTAAAAATATTTTGCTTTGGTCTACAAAAGTTTTCCTTTTTTGTAATCCTTCCCTTATTTTTAGGCTTAAAAGTGATACGAAATAAGGTTCTAATGACCTAAACAAATGACTACAACCAAAATGCTAACTGGCAATCTGTAGGTGCAACAATGTGCTGCGCTTCCTTTCTTATTCTACTTCCACAATTAGCACACATTAATTTTAAAATGAGGGGAAAAAAAGTTGAAAAAGGACATACAATGGGTCACAGTATCAGCCAGCAAGCAGTTACTAACTAGAAAAGTAATTTTCAAAGTTGATTTATGGGGCTTACATGCAATACACGCAAGAGTAATAGTTTTAAATAAACTGGAGACATCTAGGGAAGAAAGCTTTTTCCCCTTCAAAGACATTTGGTAACACAGTAAAATTCACCCTCAAAGAAAACATTCAAGAGTTAGACTACAATCAAAAGAATCCACAGAGAATACATCCTTATCTTACAAAATGAAAGCAGCAAGTTCTCAGACAACTGATCTTAAAAGATGGCAAGAAAACCACGTCATAGGTACTACCCATTTCTGGCTCCTTGAAACCTTACCTGATTGACTACTTGCTTCAGAATCATGTCACGATAATCTGCTCCATTTCGTTTGATGGCAGTCATGATCAGATCACATACACGGTACACTGTGTCTGGCAATTCATCAAGAAGGTGGAAGCAGCCTGGCAACATGGTATCAGTGAAAGTGTGGAGCTCATCTTGTTCTAATGGGTCAGCATCCTGAAACTTCTCAAGACATTTAGCCTCTTCTTCTTCCTGTTTTTCACGAGCTTTCCGTTCCTCTTCCTCCTTGCGGCAAGCAACTTCCTAGGGGCAGGGAAGGAAGCATGGATTGCACATGGGATATGTGAATGAAAGATGGGGAAATCCCAAAAATGTATTTGCTTCACTATATAAACACTGTTCTACTCAAGGAGTGGAAATTTTTATCCAGCTGTGGAAATGACTGTAGGGACATAAGCAATGTAGGTAAAGGCAACACAGAGAAGACTGATCCCAACACCCAAACTATTGCTGATTATATGTAATACCCTACAATATCACTTAAGAAATTGTTTTCAGCCACTCCTATTATTTGCTGGCCATGTTGTAGACTCAAGTATCTTACTCCCTCCAATAATAGGCATTCCCAATTGTGTTGGGTCTCTTATTTGTCAATAAGGATTAATGCTATATCCGTCTCATCTAATATTTCAGGTCAATACAAGGTAGCTTGCCAAGCATAGTGGTGCATGGCCTATAATCCCAGCACTTGGAAGGTTGCAGCAGGAGGATTGCTGCAAATTCTAGGTCAGCCTGAATTATGTGACAAGACGTCTCAAAAAACCCAAAAAATATAAGAGCAAGGTTTGAGATTGAGTATTCCCATGTTTTTAATTAAGACTTTAACCTTGCCAATTATTTATCAACAGCAGAATATTCACAGACACTAAAATCAATGGGCCAAGCCCTTTTGGTGCCATTTCCTAGTTACCTCAGGTGACTCTGCCCTTTGATCCATTGGAATATCCTGTCCTAGAGACATGGCAATGGCTCTCATCATTTGGTCCTCTTCAGACATACTCAGATCCTAGAATCGTTAACACAAGATGCAGTAATTGTACACACAAAAGAAATCAAACAAACCTAAACTCACAAACTCAATTCATAAACTCAAATTTTAAAGAGGGCAAAGGGCTCTGAATAAGGCTCTCTCTAGTCAAACAGAACAAGGCTCACCTAGTCGCTACAAGAACAGGGGAAGAAATTTGCAATGACAGTTAAGTATGTGGAAGTGTATTCAATTTGACCACCTATTATACATCTTGGAAAAGTATGCATTTTCTAGTGTTCTCCTTTGGTTCTTTTACAAAGAAGGTCCAAGTAATCTGCACGGCTAGGGAATACAAACCATGTTTTTTTCAGAGGTTTGGAAAGTTCTTATGAAAAGAAATATTGCCATAAAGAAGTATGAAAATAAGCAATTTACAGGGGCTGGGGAGATGGCTCAGTGGAATAAGCACTTCCCTGGCAAGCACAAGGGTCTGAGTTCAATCCCTGGTTCCACCAAAAAAAAAAAAAAAAAAAAAAAAGAAGCAGCAGCAATTTACAGAAAGGAAGACAAATGATGAAAAGATGAAGGGGAAAATGTATTAGTTGCCAAACTCATTCTGAAATCTTAGAGTTCCTATGCCAACTTACCCGAACAACTCCTCCCATAATGGGAGGAGGGTGGGTTAGCAAGTATTCTGTAGCCTGCTCCATGGTGCTAGTGTTCAACAAGGCCTCCATGGCATGTTCTCTTGTAAAACCCATGTCCATGAGCTATATCAACAAAAGAATCAAAAACACAAAATACAAACCAAGAGCTTAGTACCATACTGAGATATTCAAATGTATTTTTTAAGAAAATAAACCTTTACAAAAGGAAAATTCAAACTTCTCTAACTTTATAAATGAAGATAAGCATTATAATCTAGAGTAGTTAGGCACCATAAATGATCCTTTTAGTTTGGTGCTTCCACAGTACTAATGTTAAACCTACACACAGCTAAAGAATTTTTCAATTCCATCCTTCAAGTAAATGGTAGAACAAGATTATTACTATAATTGGAAGATTAAGATTCATACACATTATCATAAATAGGTCCCAATTTTTTAAAAAACTGACTCAGGAATACTACTCCTTGGAGTTTTAGGAACATGCACAAATACAAAATAATTGTTCAAAGGAAAGAAAAAATGGGGAATTGGAAGGAAAAAGAAAAAAATGGAAACAAAGCTCTGTAAATAAGGTAGGGAAGTGGGGTTGAAACGAGGGGTGGGGGATGAGAAAACAAGGACTAATACATATGCACAGGTAAAAATTCATATATATA